CCCACTGACCAGTTCCCCAGCCTCAACCAACCCACTCGACCAGTTCCCAGCACTCGACCAGTTCCCCAGCCTCGACCAACCCACTGACCACCAGTTCCCCAGCCTCGACCAACCCACTTGACCAGTTCCCCACTCAACCCACTCGACCAGTTCCCCAGACCAACCCACTCGACCAACCTCACCAACCCACTCGACCAGTTCCCCAGCCTCGACCAACCTCTCGACCAGTTCCCCAGCCTCAACCAACCCACTCGACCAGTTCCCCATCCTCGACCAACCCACTCGACCAGTTCCCCATCAACCAACCCACGACCAGTTCCCATCCTCGATCAACCCACTCGACCAGTTACTCACTCAACTAGTCCCCATCCTCGACCAGTAACCACTCGACCAGTTCCCCCCCTCGACCAGTTCTTGAGTTGGGCTGAACGGTTCACAGTCAATAAAGTGCTTAGTGCCTCGTCTCTCTCTCTCTCTCTCTCTCTACTTTGTCAACTCTCAACCCTGTCATGCCGGACTAATCAAGTTCTCCGGGCCTCCTGCTTGTCTGGGCCGGGAGGGAGGCAAACAAGGCGAGGTGAGGGAGGAGGGAGGGGGAGGAGGAGAGAAGGAGGAGTTAGTGAAGGAGGAAGGAGGGACAACAAGGAAGTGAGAGGGAGGGGGAGGGAGGGGAAAGAAAGGGCAGATGAGAGGGAGAAAGGATGGAGAAGGGAGGATGTAGAGGGAGAGAGAGATGGGGGGAGAGAGAGGGGGGAAGGCAATCGGGGTAAGGAGGAGAGGGAGAGAGAGAAGGAGGGGTGAAGCATGACACGGAAGAAATACGAGAGAGTGGAGAAGAGAATATGAGAGAGAGAGAGAGAGAGAGATGGTAAGAAAAACTTGTGAGAGGGAAGGAGAAGGGAAAAAACAAGGAAGAATTAGAGGGAGAGGGAGAGAATGGGTAGATGAAGATTGGATGAATTTGAGTGAAGGAGAGAGTGATAGACAGACAGAGAAAGAGAGAGAGCACTGTAAGTAGAATTAGAGAGAGAGAGAGGGAAAAGATGCCTCACCCATCTATGCAAATGTTGGATGTTCTACGTGGGAAGTTTTTTTTTTTTCTGGGCCATAGACCTATTTTGAATATCCAATACCTGACCATCACTTTTTATCGGGGGTTGATTAGCATACTGGGTGCCTGGAAAGCTCACTACTACGTCAGCCTAGAGAGGGGCGAGGAGGGGAGGGGCGAGGGAAGGGGAGAGGAGGGAGGGAGGGTGGGGAGGGGAGGCGGGCTTATACAAAGATTCCCTGCGTTTAATTTTGTCCCCTAAATGGTAAGTGAACGTGCATGTAGTGAAGGTAAGTGTGTCGGTGTACAGTAATTTTGATGTCATTCAGTTAAGGGGCGTTCATACAACTCTTGTTTACGGGGAACGTGTGTGTGTCTGTGTGTGTGTGTGCCTTTAAAATTCCGATACACACACACACACACACACACACAACACACACACACACACCTTTTTTTTATCGTGGTTGGTTCTCATAACGCAACACTGAGCGAGAAGCCGACCTAGTAGGGGCCTGAAACACCCCCTTCCCCTTTCCCCTACCCCCTCACCCCTCCCCCTACCCCCACTTCCCACTCCCTCCTCTCTTCACCCTTCCCCATTACCCCCTCTCCCTACCCCCCCCTCCCCCTACCCCCCACTCCCCTACCCACCCCCCTACTCCCCCCCCTACTCCCCCCTACTCCCCCCTACCCACACCCGAAAAAAAATATTATCGATTTCCTGATAGGTGATGTTGATGGCCGCTGAACTAACAATAATATCTCGAGGGTTTTAGAAAGTTTCTTAATGTTATTTTTGACTGGTAGATAAGGCTCATTTAGACGGTGTATCTGTGGGGGGAGAGGGAGGGGGCAGGTGAAGGAGGGAGGGGGAAGGAAGGAGAGAGGGGGAAGGAAGGAGAGAGATAAAGAATGGGAAGGAAGGAAGGAGGCAGGGGGAGGTGAAGAGAGAGAAGGAGGGAGGGAAGTGAAGGAGAGAAGGTGGGACGGAAGTGAAGAAAAGAGAGGAGAAGAGAGAGAAGGAGGGAAGAAAAGAGATAAAAAGATAAAAAGAGGGAGAGAAGAAGAGAGAAAAAGAGGGAGGGAAAGAGAAAAAATGAGAGAGAAAAAGAGAAAAGAAAGGAGGTAGGGAGAGAGAGAGGAGGGACGAAGGGAAGGTCTTTGAGCCTGCCTGGTGACACACTCGACCCTATTGAAGGATGAACTCAATAGCGTTTGTTCTCAAGTGTTTTATTGGTGGAGGACAAGGTGGTATGGTGATGGGGCCCAGACAGTAGTGTGGCCCAGACAGTCGTGTGGCCCAGACAGTGGTGTGGCCCAGACAGTGGTGTGACCCAGACAGTGTGGCCTAGACAGTAGTGTGGCCCAGAGGTGTGGCCAGAACAGACGGTAGACCATTTAGCAAACTTAGACTACCAGAGTGGTGAATAGTAATGACAATTGTGGATAGAAAATAGACGATTGTGGAAGCTTATGAAGCACATTTCTGGCCGTATTATAAGAGTAGAGATTGATGATATCTATCTATCTATCTATCTATCTATCTATCTATCTATCTATCTATCTATCTATCTATCTATCTATCTATCTATCTATCTATCTATCTATCTATCTATGATACTCAGTGCTTCTCTCTGTTAACATAACATACTCACAGTCAGATTCACATTTCACAAACTTTATGAACGCTAATTTGGATCACCTGAAGATTAGCCCCTCCAGATTACTTCACCTGTAGATAAAGCACCCTAACCTAATGCTAACCTAACCTAACCTCCTCAGATAGCGTTATGATAATTAATCTTCAGATTAAATAAACTTTAAAGGGTCAGTCAAATCTTCAGGTAAACCATTTAAATTATGCTAAGTGAAGGTGTATCCATTTGAGGTAGAGTCTCTGTGAAATGTTCAAATAATTTTGAAATTGAAATAGATATAATTGAGCCAGAAAACAATGAAGATACGAAGGTAAAAAAACGAGAATATATATATATATATATATATATATATATATATATATATATATATATATATATATATATATATATATATATATATATATATATATATATATATATATATATATATATATATATATATATATACTTTTTTGGGTGATATTTTTTTGTTTTGTTTTGGTTTTGTATTTAAGTGAGGAAGATAAATACGTTCTTAGGCCATCCATATGTGAGGTAAACGGACCTTAAGAGCCTCAGAGAATCTAGGGATGGAAGCCTCAGAGAATCTAGGGCCGGAAGCCTCAGAGAATCTAGGGATGGAAGCCTCAGAAAATCTAGGGCCGGAAGCCTCAGAGAATCTAGGGGAAGCCTCAGAGAAGGGATGGATGGAAGCCTCAGAGAATCTAGGATGGAGCCTTAGAGAATCTAGGAAAGCCTCAGAGAATCTAGGGATGGAGAGAATCTAGGATGGAAGCCTCAGAGAATCTAGGGATGGAAGCCTCAGAAATCTAGGGATGGAAGCCTCAGAGAATCTACAGAGAATCTAGGGATGGAAGCCTCAGAGAATCTAGGGATGGAAGCTTCAGAGAATCTGGGATGGAAGCCCCAGAGAATCTAGGGATGGAAGCCTCAGAGAATCAAGGATGGAAGCTTCAGAGAATCTAGGGATGGAAGCCTCAGAGAATCTAGGGATGGAAGCCTCAGAGAATCTAGGGATGGAAGCCTCAGAGAATCAAGGGATGGAAGCCTCAGAGAATCTAGGATGGAAGCCTCTGAGAATCTAGGGATGGAAGCCTCAGAGAATCTAGGGATGGAAGCCTCAGAGAATCTCGGGATGGAAGCCTCAGAGAATCTAGGGATGGAAGCCTCAGAGAATCTAGGGATGGAAGCCTCAGAGAATCTAGGGCTGGAAGCCTCAGAGAATCTAGGGCTGGAAGCCTCAGAGAATCTAGGGATGGAAGCCTCAGAGAATCTAGGGATGGAAGCCTCAGAGAATCTAGGGATGGAAGCCTCAGAGAATCTAGGGATGGAAGCCTCAGAGAATCTAGGATGGAAGCCTCAGAGAATCTAGGATGGAAGCCTCAGAGAATCTAGGGATGGAAGCCTCAGAGAATCTCGGGATGGAAGCCTCAGAGAATCTAGGATGGAAGCCTCAGAGAATCTAGGGATGGAAGCCTCAGAGAATCTAGGGATGGAAGCCTCAGAGAATCTAGGGCCGGAAACCTCAGAGAATCTAGGGCTGGAAGCCTCAGAGAATCTAGGGCTGGAAGCCTCAGAGAATCTAGGGATGGAAGCCTCAGAGAATCTAGGGCTGGAAGCCTCAGAGAATCTAGGGATGGAAGCCTTAGAGAATCTAGGGAAGGAAACCTTACATAATCCAGGGATGGAAGCCACACATAATCCAGGGATGGAAGCCTCATATAATCCAGAGATGGAAGCCTCACATAATCCAGAGATAGAAGCCTCATATAATCCAGAGATGGAAGCCTCACATAATCCAGGGACAGAAGCCTCACATAATCCAGAGATGGAAGCCTCACTTAATCCAGGGACAGAAGCCTCACATAATCCAGAGATGGAAGCCTCACTTAATCCAGGGACAGAAGCCTCACATAATCCAGAGATAGAAGCCTCATATAATCCAGAGATGGAAGCCTCACATAATCCAGGGACAGAAGCCTCACATAATCCAGAGATGGAAGCCTCACTTAATCCAGGGACAGAAGCCTCACATAATCCAGGGATGGAAGCCTCACATAATCCAGGGACAGAAGCCTCACATAATCCAGAGATGGAAGCCTCACTTAATCCAGGATGGAAGCCTCACATAATCCAGGGATGGAAGCCTCACATAATCCAGGGACAGAAGCCTCACATAATCCAGAGATGGAAGCCTCACATAATCCAGGGATGGAAGCCTCACATAATCCAGGGATGGAAGCCTCACATAATCCAGGATGGAAGCCTCACATAATCCAGGGATGGAAGCCTCATAATCCAGGGATGGAAGCCTCACATAATCCAGGGATGGAAGCCTCACATAATCCAGGGATGGAAGCCTCGTAATCCAGAGATGGAAGCCTACATAATCCAGGGATGGAAGCCTCACATAATCCAGGGATGGAAGCCTCACATAATCCAGGGATGGAAGCCTCACATAATCCAGGGATGGAAGCCTCACATAATCCAGGGATGGAAGCCTCACATAATCCAGAGATGGAAGCCTTACATAATCCAGGGATGGAAGCCTCACATAATCCAGGGATGGAAGCCTCACATAATCCAGAGATGGAAGCCTTACATAATCCAGGGATGGAAGCCTCACATAATCCAGGGATAGAAGCTTCACATAAACGAGGGATGGAAGCCTCACATAATCCAGGGACACGCCACACATAATCCAGGGAGAGAAGCCTCACATAATCCAGGGATGGAAGCCTCACATAATCCAGGGACAGAAGCCTCACATAGGATGGAAGCCTCACATAATCCAGGGTCGGAAACCTCAGAGAATCTAGGGATGGAAGCCTCAAATAATCCAAGGACGGAAGCTTGACATAATCCAGGGACAGAAGCTTCAGATAATCCAAGGATGGAATCCTCAGAGAATCTAGGGATGGAAGCCTCACATAATCCAGGGACGGAAGCCTTAAATAATCCATGGATGGAAGCCTCACATAATCCAGGGACAGAAGCTTCAGATAATCCAAGGATGGAATCCTCAGAGAATCTAGGGTTGGAAGCCTCAGAGAATCAAGGGACGGAAGCCTCACATAGTCCAAGGACGGAAGCCTCACATAATCCAGGGACGGAAGCCTCACATAATCCAGGGACGGAAGCCTCACATAATCAAGGGACAGAAGCCTCAGAGAATCAAGGGACGGAAGCCTCAGAGAATCAAAGGACGGAAGCCTCAGAGAATCAAGGGACGGAAGCCTCAGAGAATCAAGGGACGGAAGCCTCAGAGAATCAAGGGACTGAAGCCTCAGAGAATCAAGGGACGGAAGCCTCAAGAGGAGAATTTGGCTGTACGTGATTCATTACTTATGCATTTGTGTTATAATTTAAGCTTCATGCCCGTCTTGTCCTGTCCTGTCTCACGGTGATGGTGTACCCAGTGCCAGGGAGTCTGAGGTGCCAGGGAGTCTTAAGTGCCAGGGAGTCTAAGGTGCCAGGGACTCTAAAGTGCCAGGGAGTCTAAGGTGCCAAGGAGTCGTAAGTGCCAAGGAGTCGTAAGTGCCAGGGAGTATTAAGTTCCAGGGAGTCTAGGGTGCCAGGAGTCTAAAGTGCCAGGAGTCTAAGTGCTAAAAGTGCCAGGGAGTCTAAAGTGCCAAAGTCGTAAGTGCCAGGAGTCTTAAGTTCCAGGAGTCTAAGGTCAGGGAGTCTAAAGTGCCAGGGAGTCTAAAGTGCCAGGGAGTCTAAAGTGCCAGGAGTCTATTAAAAGTATAGTTGGTGAGTATTTATAGGGACAAACATGCAAATGAGAGAGAGAAAAAGAGAGAGAGAGAGAGAGACCAGGAATCCAAGGCACTGGTCGAAAGAATGGAGTGAGGAGGAGGTATTGGTGTGGAGAGTCAGGGAGGGTGGGGGGTGAGGTGAGGTGAGGGTGAGGGTGAGGTGAGGGCGGCAGGGAGGGAAGGATGCCACTCTTGATCAAACTCCTTGTTTTTTAAACCAATAAAACTATATTGACGAGATAAACCCATGACGTTCCTGCAGTGTTTGGGCGGAGGGGAGACAGACAGACAGACAGACAGACAGACAGACAGACAGACAGACAGACAGGAGATATAGGGAATAATATGTAAAGATAATTGAAACGTCAGAAAGATAGACAGAAAGATAAAGACAGATAGATATTGGGAATAATATGTTAAGATAAACAAACTAAGTAATAAGAACTGACAGGCAGATAGACAGAGATAGACAGACAGACAGAGAGAGACAGACAGGGAATAAAGGGAATTGGTCAGAAAGATAATTAAACAGACAGTGATAGAGACCGATAGAGACAGACAGACAGACAGACAGACAGGTAATGAGAGAAACAAATTTTCCACTGCAATCATATACAGACAGCTAAGTGCCTCACCATCACCCTACAGACAGCTAAGTGCCTCACCATCACCCCACACACAGCTAAGTGCCTCACCATCACCCTACAGACAGCTAAGTGCCCCACCATCACCCAACAGACAGCTAAGTGCCTCACCATCACCCTACAGACAGCTATGCCTCACCATCACCCTACAGACAGCTAAGTGCCTCACCATCACCCAACAGACAGCTAAGTGCCTCACCATCACCCTATAGACAGCTAAGTGCCTCACCATCACCCTACAGACAGCTAAGGCCTCACCATCACCCTACAGACAGCTAAGTGCCTCACCATCACCCTACAGACAGCTAAGTGCCTCACCATCACCCTACAGACAGCTAAGTGCCTCACCATCACAACAGACAGCTAAGGCCCCACCACCCCACAGACAGCTAAGGCCTCACCATCACCCTACAGACAGCTAAGGCCCACCATCACCCTACAGACAGCTAAGTGCCCACCATCACCCAACAGACAGCTAAGTGCCTCACCATCACCCTACAGACAGCTAAGTGCCTCCCATCACCCTACAGACAGCTAAGTGCCTCACCATCACCCAACAGACAGCTGGCCTCACCATCACCCTACAGACAGCTAAGTGCCTCACCACTCCCCACAGACAGCTAAGGCCTCACCATCACCCTACAGACAGTTAAGTGCCTCACCATCACCCTATAGACAGCTAAGGCCTCACCATCACCCTACAGACAGCTAAGATCCTCACCATCACCCTATAGACAGCTAAGTACCCCACCACACCCTATAGACAGCTAAGTGCCCCACCATCACCCCACAGACAGCTAAGTGCCCCACCATCACCCTACAGACAGTTATGCCTCACCATCACCCTACAGACAGTTAAGTGCCTCACCATCACCCTACAGACAGCTAAGTGCCTCACCATCACCCTACAGACAGCTAAGTACCTCACCACCCCATAGAGCTAAGGCCTCACCATCACCCTACAGACAGTTAAGTGCCTCACCATCACCCTACAGACAGCTACACCTCACCATCACCCAACAGACAGCTAAGTGCCTCACCATCACCCTACAGACAGCTAAGTGCCTCACCATCACCCTACAGACAGCTAAGGTACCTCACCATCACCCTACAGACAGCTAAGTGCCTCACCATCACCCTATAGACAGCTAAGTCCTCATCATCACCCTACAGACAGCTAAGTGCCCCACCCAACAGACAGCCAAGTACCTCACCATCACCCTACAGACAGCTAAGTGCCCCACCCTACAGACAGCTAAGTACCTCACCATCACCCTACAGACAGCTAAGTGCCTCACCATCACCCTATAGACAGCTAAGTGCCTCACCATCACCCTACAGACAGCTAAGTGCCTCACCATCACCCAACAGACAGCTAAGTGCCTCACCATCACCCTACAGACAGCTAAGTGCCTCACCATCACCCTACAGACAGCTAAGTGCCTCACCATCACCCTATAGACAGTAAGCGCTCACCATCACCATACAGACAGCTAAGTGCCTCACCATCACCCTACAGACAGCTAAGTACCACCATCACCCTACAGACAGCTAAGTGCCTCACCATCACCCTATAGACAGCTATGCCTCACCATCACCATACAGACAGCTAAGTGCCTCACCATCACCCTACAGACAGCTAAGTGCCTCACCATCCCTATAGACAGCTAAGTGCTCCCACCATCACCCTACAGACAGCTAAGTGCCTCACCATCACCCACAGACAGCTAGTACCTCACCATCACCCTACAGACAGCTAAGTTCTCTCACCATCACCATACAGACAGCTAAGTGCCTCACCATCACCCTACAGAGAGCTAAGTGCCTCACCATCACCCTACAGACAGCTAAGTGCCTCACCATCACCATCACCCAACAAGATAATGGGACGCCATCATCACCATCAGGCAGGTTCCTCCTGAAGAAGGGTATGGGAGGCGTCATCCCCTCCCTCACCTTCACACTAAACTTTTTAGAAACTTGTGCTGAGGTCCTGCCCAACTTACTCCCACCTTCCGGGTCCACGGCAGGAGCAGCGACCACGACTCCATGCACTCCTGATGGGGGAGAGGGTGTGTGTGTGTGTGTGTGTGTGTGTGTGTGTGTGTGTGTGTGTGTGTGTGTGTGTGTGTGTGTGTGTGTGTGTGTGTGTTTTATCTTCTCAGCTCCACCTGTTGATGGCTAGCAGTGAAGACTCGACCGTAAATACACATCTGATGGGATTGTTGTTACTATACTTGATCTGATTGTCTTGCTGGTTACCATTGTTTATATACCTGCACTGTCTAGGCATTGCATAACCTGCACTGTCTAGGTACATTGTTTATATACCTGCACTGTCTAGGTATATTGTTTATATACCTGCACTGTCTAGGTACATTGTTTATATACCTGCACTGTCTAGGTACATTGTTTATATACCTGCACAGTCTAGGTACATTGTTTATATACCTGCAACTGTCTAGGGTACATTGTTTGTATACCTGCACTGTCTAGTACATTGTTTATATACCTGCACTGTCTAGGTACATTGTTTATATACCTGCACTGTCTAGGTGGACATTGTTTATATACCTGCACTGTCCAGGTACATTGTTTATATACCTGCACTGTCTAGGTACATTGTTTATATACCTGCACTGTCTAGGTACATTGTTTATATACCTGCACTGTCTAGGTACATTGTTTATATACCTGCACTGTCTAGGTACATTGTTTATATACCTGCACTGTCTAGGTACATTGTTTATATACCTGCACTGTCTAGGTACATTGTTTATATACCTGCACTGTCTAGGTACATTGTTTATATACCTGCCTCTGGTTGTATCCTTTAATTGTTAACAGTGAAGACAGAACCCAACTTGACCTTACATAGGCTGGATAAGGTCAAAGGTCAATGATATAAAGGTTAATAAAGGCGTTCTTGACCTCCTGTTTTTTTGAGTGATGAAGGACCTGGCCCCTTTTGACCTATAACCTGAGAGATAGGGTCAAAGGTCAGAGTTGTTATGGGGGTTATAGGGTTTTTCGTCAGTCTGATTTTGCTTAATGATCTCTAGATAAAGACCCACAGTGCCCCCCCCCCACCCCATCAGGTTTTCTATCAGGTTCCCCTTCAGATCACCCATCAGGTTCCCATCAGATCCTCCCCATCAGGTACCCAAGACCCATTCATCAGGAGCTGCCTTCCCACGTCATAAAAATACGATCAACAACTTTAGAGACAGATTCTGAGGGCGGCAGCCAAGGCGCCTCTCACCCGGACCTGGCACAGTCTGACAGGTAGGTAGAGGAGAGACAAGATGGCGGAGGAGAGAGAGAGAGAGAGGAGAAAATAACAGGAGAAGGGGGAATTGAGGATGGTACGTGGTAGTAAGAGAAAGAGGAAGAGGCGGAAGCGAGAGGAGTGAAAAATTGGAATATCGAGAAGAGATAATATTGGAGGATAGAGAGAAGTGAGGAAAAATAGATAAGAGATAATTAATAGGCAGTGGTAGGGGTAGAAGGGAGGATATTAAGAAATGGTTACGAGGAGAGAGAGAGGGAGGAGAAGGGATG